GGGGGGGGGGGGGGGGGGGGGGGCAAATCCCCGTCCCACTAAAATCAGAACCCTATCCCACTCGAGGGATGAAACTCGTGGAAGAGTCCCCGACACCCGAGCTATGAAGCGGTTCGAATATTTTAGGGTTCCAATTCCAGATTTTTCACACTATAGCATTTTCCAAACGTAATCTATAATATTTTCTTACTCAAGCTCTTAACAGCACGATATACAGTAACGCAAGCGCGTATTTCCCAATGGACACTTCATCGACCATTTTGAATTTCAAGGCATATCAACAAATTAACAATTTTAGCTACGATCTGAGCACAATTGGCCCTGTAAACGGCGCCGTGATGTTTAACCATACCCAACTGCATGTAAATCAATTGGAAATTCCTTGCTTAGCGGATGTTCATCTTTGTACGCAAGGCTTCACTTTAACATTCTGGATTAACGTTTTGGAAGTTAGTGGTGGACTTCCAATGGTATTACGCCGGCGAGGTAGAAATCAGGAAGAGAGCGAAGTACGGGCTAAAGTTATAACGCAAGGAACTGAGCAATTCTTTGGAATTATGGTAGCAGCCAATGAAAGAAAATGTAACATTCAGTTTCGTTTTACCATGTCTACGTGGATGCACGTGGCGTTCACGTGGTTGAACGGATTCACGCTGCCGCATCTTTTTTTAAATGGTGTAAGAAAACAAAGAAATGAACTTGAAAAGTACCACTGTAAAGATTATTTCCCTCTTCTTAAAACTCCTTCTGTTCCAACTTCTCCTTCAACTTCTACACTTACTTCTGCCCCTCAAGATGTTTCCTTGGGAAGTTCAGGGATAGTTATGCTCCTGGATGACATGGCATTGTGGGAAAGAGAACTAAATTTCGAGGAGGTTCAGGGTATTTACGACAAACTCGTGGGAGGTAAGCTCTAAATGATCGGGGTAATTTGATATTATCAACTGAGTTGATAATGTAAATTAGCCACCGTGAAGAGTTTCAAAGCTGACGTTTCGAGCGTTAGCTCTTCGTCAGCCCTTTATCTTTCAATCGGCACTCTTAATCCCCACGGTACGACGAGCGCTTTTCATTTAACCAATTTATTCTTAGAGAAAGATGTTTTTCGTCTAGTCACGAGCGTGGGACAAAGAAAAAATTCTGAGTCCCCATGAAGAATCAAACCTCAGACCTTCAGATTCCGCGCTCAGATGCTTTACCACTGAGCCACAGCGACTCCACGATGAGCAAAGTCTATCGCGAGGTTCATTTGACATGCGTCCTGCATACTGCTAGGATCAGCAATGTCGATGGCGTCGTGTTTGTCATGCTCATGACAAGACGAAAAACATCTTTCCCTATTTCTTTACCGAGCTCAAAACTTACCATCTCTGTTGTTCTATTCATAATTTATTCTTGTTTTGTCGTCACCTTATCTAAACCAATAGCGTAATTCCATTTTCTGCATACAAACACGCACACTATTCCACAACTCCTCCAATCGCACCGACGAAGGGCTAACGCTCGAAATTCTTCATGGTGGCCAATTTACGTTATCAAATCAGTTGATAATTCTTAATTACCCTGTTATACTCTCCCACCGACTCAGCATTGCACTTTCTTTAGAAACTTACCCCCTCTATCTGAATGATCAGGTTCAAGGAAGTAACCGCATGAACCAGTCAGTTTTGTTACACTTGTCAGTTTTGGTGTTTAGAAATAATCTTTTTTGGAACAAGTAACACGCTGAACTCATGCCCCATTTGTGAAACGTGTAAAAATGTAGTATTGGCTGCTGTCGGCAGGAAATAAGAATTTCAATCCTTTCTTTGGCCTCATTTATCGATCTTCAGGTCTCTCAAGATTAATCTTACAGTACAGTCTGCATATTTATCATACTGCTCCATACACATTTCCTAAAGTGATTGCAAGGAGGATATGTTTAACAGTCAAGAGCCTCTTTCGTTTGTGATCATTACCTTTATTCTCGTGACCGTAATGTGTGATTCCGGGGTGATATTGTAAGGAGAAATTAGATGCTAGTCACTCTTTGGGGATTAATGGGTTGAGGCAAAGTATCGGCTCCTCTACGTTTACAGATGTCGAGAAAAATATCCACGTTCACGCAATCTTTATCAACGAAACCTGGCATGCGGACCTTCAAGACCCAGAAAGCGAAATATACCGGAGTTTCAAGCAGAAACTGTTTCTACAAGTGAGCAAAGACTAGCGGTGGTATCGTCATAATCTATATAATTTTTAAATCTAATAACTTTCTGTAATCCGCACTTTGGTTACTTCTTACTTATGATCTATTGAAGGATAGACGCAAAGTTGACGTCACTATCAACAGCTTTTGCTACTTTTGTACAAACAAACAGCTTCCATTTTGCCTGTGTCCATTCGGTATTTATAATAAGCTGAAGTATACACGCAGTTTGATCGGTTCTCACTTGTAAGCTATTGGAGGACAAACACATAAATGACGTTACCGTTGACAAAAATTTATTTGCAGTTACATATTAAGACAATTAGATTCAATGTTGCCGTGGTTTTGCGCAACAAAAAGATCACAAAAAAACGCCAAAATGTGGTAGCAACATCAGCGACACATTCGGCTGCGCCTCGCATGCCCGGTTCTCTGTTCCTATCACATTTTGACGTCACTTGTGATCAATCACTGGACAAATGCATGGAAGAATGGATTCTATTTGTTGATTAGATTTCAAAAGACGTAGAAATATTATAAGTATATCAGACAGACATTCGGCTGCGAAGGAAAATAAATTTTTATGACGTACCAGAAATAATTTGTTCTTTAATTGAAACCTCTCAATTCGCATCAGGTTCGCCAACTTTTTCCGGACGACTCGATGTATGATGTGGAAATACATAACTTGAGGTGAGATGAGATTTGTTTGAGGATTTATGAGTGTTACAATATTTCTAATGATATGTAATAGTTGCATTACATACATTGCATTAAAAATGGCTCTTTCCCTGGTCTCCGTTACGTGGCTCCATTTTCATGAACCATTCTTAAATATTCAGCTTCTTTCCTCTGTCTTACAACAGCAGATAATATTCAAATGTTGTAAGGAGAGCTTACAGATATTAACATACTTTAACAGAGCTAAAGCTTTTTTAGTACAATCTTTCTACCATATACCGAACTTTAAAGTCATTCTCTCTCAGGCCTGGAAGTGTCGAGGCTGATTTCACACTGAAATTTCGCGAACTGACGTATAACCACACTGTCAAGCTGCAAGAGGCGCTCTTCAACAGGTCTTTTGGAAACATGACAATAGGAGAGGTGTTCTGGGATTTTAGTCCACACAGTAAGTAGCACTTACAAATTTCTAATTGTTAAACTCTAATTGAATCTGAGATATTACAGTTATCGTCATCGTGGTGCGATGACGTCACCGTTTGATTGTGCTGTTGGACGAGTTGGGTCCAGGCCTACTACTCGACTTTCAAGAAAGTGATGCGATTAGGAAAACTCTTAAGTAGGTGATATATTAGCGTTTTACGAAGTTCCATCCCACAAATTTAAATATGTCCTTGTTAGAACTTCTAAGAAGAAATGAAATGAAGCAAAAATGTCTCCTCTTGCTTGCTGGCAACCTACCAGCAATCTTTTGCCTTTCCTTTTGCCCACAGTTCCTCAGGACGCACCAAGGATCACCAGTGTTACATTACTAAACGACTTGTCAGTGGAGGTCAGATGGGAAGGTATTCCACTTAATACCTTTGCTGGGGCACCACAAGGGTACAAGATTGTCTACTATGAAAACACCACTGCACATGCGCCTATGTATCAGCACGTGTTTGCTCCGGAATTGATAAACACCATAAGAGTAGGAGGCCTCCGGAATAACACTTTGTATTCCATAACTGTTGTTGCATGCAATGTATTCGCTGATGGACCTCCAAGTGAGCCAGTCAATATAATGACGACGTCTGCCAAATGTAAGTTGCGTTACCTTTTTGAAGCTGAATTAAACAATACATGTCACGCACAGTAAAAATCGTGACGCTCACAGTAGAAGTTATTCTATGTTAATGCGTCCATAAGAGTCCAATATGAGACTCTCGCTTAGCTTATCAGAATGTGTAGCTTTCTTCATAATATATAGCAATACGTAATAAGTAATGTTTTTATAGAACAAACGTCTTGATTGTTAACTACGAAAATTCAACTGAAATTTCTATTTTAATTTCATAAGTTTCCAGGGTAAACTACAACGTTTTCTTTTCGTTTCAAATGTCTCCTTTCCCGATGATTTTCTTCAGAAATTCTCAACGGTTTGCAAGAACCAAGTCCTTTGTAAACCCTGGCGGCTGCTTCATCTGCATTACTACATAAAAATTGCTCTCCTCAATTTAGGGCAGTTTTCTCTCCTGCAAGGAAGATATACCGTTCGCAAATACCTTGCCTTTTGTAACAGTAGCCTGATCCAGGCGCTCCGTTGGTAGAGACGGACAAACAATTGGGGTCTGCTTGTTAGCTATCTCTGTCGCTTCTCCACCATTATTTTTAGCATCTCGTATATTTACGTTGGTTCTTCAGGAGAAAGCTTTGACAGCTTCTTTTACTTTTCTAGCAATTAGCTCCACTCCACAAAATCTGACCGTTGTCTCCACCGGACCTCACCATATACATTTGTCCTGGAATAACAATAATATTTACGTCACTGGATTCGAAATCTTTTGGAAAATTCTAAATTCCTGCGTGACAAGCGAATTTGCAAGCACACAGTCTCCGAACTCAGCCTTTAACATAACTGGTCTCCAGCCCTTCACCTGGTATCAAATGACCGTGCGAGCTTACAATAGTCTGGGGTCTGGACCAAACAGTTCCTATGTCAATGTGCGCACGCAGGCCAAAAGCCTTGGTAGGATGTCTTTCAGTTATCAAAGTGACTTTTATATTAATTGAGTATCGTCTTATTTCATTTTATCTAGAATGTATTTTAATTTCACATGCTTCGAATTCCAGTTAATCTTCCTCCAGTTCCCCAAAACATTAGCGTGACAGCTAAGAATTCTACTTATGTGACAGTCGAATGGTTGCCAGTGTCACGTCATCTTGTGTCGAATTATCATTACAACTACACCCTTTCGTGGCTCGCCGTTAAAGGAGGGTCGCCAGGCGTCATTACAAACGTTACTCTAAATGTGACATCATTCGAGATTCGTGGGCTGACCCCATACACAAAACATGTTATACAAGTGGCTGCAAGGGACTGGAACGGGACAGGCAGATTCAGTAATCCCTTGTGTGTGTATACACTAGAGGACGGTAAGTTAAACTAATGCAACCTCTAGAAGTTTTCACGAACAGGTTAAATTTTCCTAAAAATGTGTTCCTCTCTCAGAACATTGACAAGCGAACCTTGCTAGAACAAAACACGAGGGGAGGGGGCAAGGGAATCGAGGATGTTATAAGCCCCTTCCCCCCTCCCCTCCTAACCAACCTCCCTACCTAACCAAAGCAATTTTTAGGGTCGTCAAGAATAGATGCAGAAACCATCATAAGTGAGGCATAGAATTGCTTTGGCAAAATGTGTTGTCTTCTGATCGTGACATGATTTGTTTCACTAGGTAGATACATGTTATAATACTTCTTAGAGCTAATACTTACCAAAAGAAAGCTTCATAAAGAATTGGATAACTTGATTCTATCGGTTTTTGGCTTTCTCGCTAAGGTTTTACTTTTCTTTAGTTCCCAGTCTAACGCCGCAAAATGTTACCGTCCAGAGCCTCAACTCTTCTTCTTTTGTACTCACCTGGGGTCCAGTCCCTTTACAATATGCGAACGGAAGGATTCAAGGATATCGGGTGAGAGTTTGGGAACAAAACGTCACTAACGTATCATATTCCGTTAACAAAAAGATGATTCTTGTAGAAGGACTGCAGCCATATACAACATATAAAGTGGAAGTTTCGGCTTACACGTCAGTGGGAGAAGGAAATGGTTCATTTTTGTTGGTAACAACACTAAAAGCAGGTGAGTCTTCAGCAGATTTCAAATAATAAACCACAGTAGCGTTCTCCGTTCTGTTGCTTGAGCTAATTCTGTTAATTGAATGAGTATATTTTAATACGCAACTTCGGTAATACTGGCGCTAGAATAGCACGCGAACAACTTTCCTACTAAGGAATCTGGGACTGGGTTAGCCAATTTTATTTTGGACGCCAGTATCAGCAGTCACGTATTAAATGCCAAACAAACTAAAACGTAGGTGCTCACAAATGCCGAGGAGAACACAGGACGCTATATATCACAAAGAGCTAATAAGAGCTGACTGCAAAAACATTGAACCTGCCTAAAGCGCACGAAAACGTGTGAGATCAAACTGCGATTAGTTTTAATCGAGCATTTGATTGGTTGAGAGGAAGTGGTGAGGTCTCAGGACCAATCAGAGACCGAGATGATGATTAGCCTCATTTTTGTTCGAGATTACATCCGTTGAGACATTGTCCTACCCATCTACCTTTTCTTCTTTTAGTTATAGTAATTGTTTACGTCTTTGTCAGTTGATACAAAACAGGCCATTCTTGCACCGGAAAACGTGACAGTCAATGTAACGAGCGCCACCTCCTGTCACGTTCAGTGGCTCTCAGTGTCACACAATCACACCTTACAAAGTCCATACAATTATACACTGGAGTGGGAATCTACTAGATACGGAAAGGCGAATGTAACGGTAGGAGCAACATCTTACAACCTCCAAGGCCTCGTGCCATTTACAACTTATGGTATACGTGTGGCTGCTGTAGATGGGGTTCATAATGGGACGTTCAGTAATACAGTTTGGGTCCAGACTCCAGAGGCGGGTAGGAAACTGTCATCATTTTATCCGTTCATTGAAAGCTGCTCATCAATTTTACCGAAGTTTTTAAGAATAAAATGTGTGTTCCAGCATTTGGTTCCTAACTTTTGATCATGGACATTTCTGCTTTTAGTTCCAAGCCAATCGCCGCAAAATGTCACTGCTTCCAGTGTCAGTTCCAACTCGTTTCAACTTAATTGGGTTCCAGTCCCTCAAGAATTTGCCAATGGCAGGATTCAAGGTTACCGAGTGAGTATCTGGGAATTAAGTCGGTGGATAGCAGCTATGAGACCGAATAAAACAACAGTTGACAACTCGACAACCAGCGCTCTGATTGGTGGACTGGAAGCTTATACGAATTATGTAGTGCAGATATCGGCCTTTACGGCGGCAGGAGAAGGGAATATCACCCACATAAATGTATCTACTCAAGAGGGAGGTAAGTAAATCGCTTATTGACTTTTTAACCGATAAATTAAAAAAAAATCTTCCAGGCAAAAAAGTGTTCAGCCAGTATGAATGATAATTTCAAAAATCTAGCTATTAAAGGCATAAGTCATGGAGGTCTGACAAGTGTCTTAGAACAATTTACTGAGGTGTAAGTCGCTGAATTTCGACAGTATCTGCCTACATTTATTAAGGGGAGAGCAGTTGACGTTCTGAAAAAACTATCATTTGGGGAAGACAAGTTTATGAGCAGCCCATTCGCGCACTCTCATTTTAACCTCTCTAGCGTGGTTTGCTCTGATCCAGAAACATACGAAATATATCGCCGACGATTACAAGCTTCATTTAAAATTAGTTTTCTCCCCTCATATGGATAGTTGACGGGAAACACAATACAATAATGTTAACATTTCCTGACCTAAGGAGTAGCGATGGCGTGGTGGTGAGGGGGCTAGCCTCCCTCTGCCGTGGCTTGGGTTCGATTCCCGAACCTGGTATCACATGTAAGTTGAATTTGTTACTCCGAGGGTTTTTATCCGTGTTCTCTCTCCACAAAAACGAAAGAAAGTAAAGCCACTCTATAAGAATGTTTCTATGCAAGTTAAATTTTCAGTCATGTTGCAGAGATTCGGCTAACTCGCAGTTTTTAATATGATAAATCATAATTGGCCGATAACGTTTAGTTAAAAAGTATAAATTCTCGAAGGAGCCATGAAAGGATTGTCTCAGGTGTTGCAAACCCAGCCTTTCTCAAATGGCGCCTCTGAGCACAATACCCTTACCTTTACTTAAAAAAGTTGAAAGCTTTTATACCAGAGCCTAACTCTACTCAGTTTAAGAATAGCCTTGGTTATTTACGGGGCAGCATCCTTATTTGAACTAGCCGAGTGTCATCGTAATGTAATTAGCCTTTGTGAGTGATCGTATTCTCCTGTTCCAACTGAATTCAGTTTCAGACTTTGTTAAGTCACGTTGTGGTTTTTCCAACATGGTGTTAAGCCCCCATAGTTATATTTTTGGCTAGTGTGATTAAAGTCGCTGCTACCACATAACCTTTACAACAATTATAAAAACATCCTTGCTTAGTGAGGCCAACCTCTTCCTTTGATACTTTTTCGGTTTGCTTAGTTAAGCTTACAGCCATATCAGGTCAGACACAACAAAAAAACCATTTCCTGGTCTTATCATATTTTGACGCCATCTGATATCTCTTACTAAACAGACGCAAGACAACACGGAATCTTTGTTAAGTATTCATGCATGGCGCGCGTGATTTAATAATTCAGCCAATCGCGCCCACAGACCTTGAACCTGGCAATGGAAGTTGACGTAGACACCTCTAAGTTATCCTTCCTTTTTCAGTTAGGTCTTTGAGCTTTCTTTACCGCAAATAAATTTGTTCCTTGATTGTTTCCGAATTTAAGAAGCTTTGAAGTCTTTAATTAAAGCCAAATGTTGCAGTTGATTTGATAAGTTTATTACATATTTAATTACGGAAGAATTTTCTACTTCTGGTACGCTTAACATGTCGTTTCGCCTAAATTACAAAATTTCATTAGTCCATATTGGGGCATGCAAAATATGCCACGGTATTACACTGAAGAGCAAGGCAAAAAGTACGGACGGAAAGTGGAGCAACAAAATCGTCTTCGAATTTTGATACTTTTCAAGTATTTCGCCGATATCACATCCGAACTTAACTGTCGATGAATATTTTATTGTAAACACAAAATAGTAGCGTTAACTCTTTGCTGTTTATTTACAGTTCCAACCAGACCTCCGCAGCAAGTTCAAGGAATCAAGCAAAGCTCAACCAGTTTACTGATCACGTGGATTACCGTCCCATCAGGCCACGCGCACGGAGTGATCATAGGTTACAACGTTTACGTCAACAATGGCAGTGTACGCGTTCTCTCCACATCTGTTAATGACGCTGTGCTGACTGGTCTCAAAAAATACACTCAGTACACGGTTCAAGTATCGGCAAACACATCTACAGGAGAGGGTCCAAGAAGTTCTCCAATCAGTGTATGGACTGACGAAGACGGTGAGTAGAAAAAACAGGAGTTTTCCTTGATATTTTAATTTCCGTAGGTTACATTTTTCTCTTATTTGACCACGAGTGAACATTAAAAGAAAACAATGTCCAGAAACCAACAAATTTTTGTCGGTATACGTAAAACTTTGACATTGCCCGTATTTCGAGAATCCGCGTGCACATTTAATGAAACATTTCGGACGATAAGATTCCTCGTCGGAGTCTTTAAATCCTTTAAGAAGTAAATGATATATGTACTTTTTAATAGCGGCAATAGAAAGTATATGGTTTTCGTTCATACTTCTCGTTATGATATGGCCTAAAATGATATACCCCTATTGGACGCGCAAAATTACGTTACCAAAAAAATTCACTTATAACATAGAAATACAAAAATGGTCAAACCTGGATTGCAAATGACAAAATTGAAAATTCAGGTGAAATTTTTTCAAGATTAGGAAACGTGACGAAACTCAAGGATTGATGTGGGCACTCTGTCATGACAGGTGTCACAAAGTTTTTCCATTCACAGAGTTAGGTAAAAACTTACTTAGTTCTGCCGAAGTATCGTTAAAATTAAAACTAATTCAGTCATGTATTCCGATTAAAAGGTAATAATCAATTATTGCTTTAACGTCCAACACTGGATCAATAAACTTTTCAGCTGCTTAATATGTGAATAGAAAAACTGAGCTCTTTGAGCTACTGTATCAAGGTCGCAGATTTTAATACATCGATGATGGAGGTAGAAGTTACCTTGAAGTGGCTTGTTATAATTTACTTTGAGAATAAGTCCTACTACCGCTAAATGTAGCTCGATGATAAAGAAAATACGAAAAAGGCAAATGCGTTAACAACATTATAACTAGAACGACTCTCACCTTGAATGTAACTTTGCCAATGAAACGATGTACCCCGCGAAACACACTTCACATTTCGTTCTAAACTGAATCGTCCTCCGTCGACTCGCTATTTATAACTACTGTCAAGAGGGGGGCGCTTGACCGACGATGGGGAAGATGGAAAGGAAGGTAAGAGATGTTACCTCTCTTTTTTTCTTCCTTTTTATCTTCCCCATCGTTGTGGTAGTACAGTCTCTTACGACCCCGCGACTGCGTACTTCAAATAAGACGCAAATATAGGCGAGTCCGGGAATCAGGTAGATTCTAATTTTTGTCACTGTTGAAAGGCAATCAGTATTGATAAACTTATTAAAATGTAGTAACTAAAATTCAAAGCTATTCCGAGGTGAAAAATTGAGATCCACCTTAATCATTTTAACAGAGTTAAGCTGTTGTTATGAAGATCGCTATATATTTTCCACAGTAGTCGAGGAAGTATTGCGTTATTTGGATTCGTGAAGCTATGTTTCTAATAATATGACTACCAACGGGTCTACCAATGTTCTTGCAGCGCCGTGTGATCCTCCCAAAAATATGGTGGCCAATAACATTACGAGTACAAGTGTCACTGTCCAATGGAGTTACCATGGAAACTGCCCTAAACCGGGCTTCATTCAAGGATACCGACTGACATACCAGATGCATGGGATAGTACCCAGTCCATCTGCGTCCTTGAGAGTTTCTGGAGAAAACAAAACGAGAGCAATTTTGAACGGTTTGAGGCCTTACTCAACCTATAGAATTCAACTTCAGGTCTACACTGCTACTGGCCGTGAGGGGAAACCAAGTACTGCCTTAGTCAAAACGAAGGAAGGAGGTGAGAATGTAGACATTGGTGGTCACGAGATGTCAATCAAGGTTGTCGTAAGTGTCATTATTACCCATGGGAAACTCCCACAAAACACTTTTCCTGGTAGTTCCCTTGTCGCCTAATTTTACAACTGTTATGGCACTTTGCTTGTATTTGTTGGAAAGTTTACGATACGTTAATTATTCTTAACTCGGCTTGATTGACATTTATAAGTGATTTCGTTTGTTTATACATAACCAAACAACATGTAAGCGGCACGTGTTTTATCGCCTCATATATGGAACTGTTCCACGTACTTACAACGGAACGTTGATGGTGTGTTTTCTTCGAATAAGTTGTGAGTGGGAGTTAACCGAAGCGTTGTAGTAAAATCGTTAAATCAAGTGAATAAACTGTGAGTTAATAAGGAAGCGTGGAACAGCTCTTTCACGTTTTCAACAGTTTTGACTTCAAGTTCTCGCCAGTTCCTCAGGTATCTACCTTTATTAATTGTGTTTACTTTGATAAAAAGATAAAAAAAGACGACACTTAATCGAAGAAGAGCTTGGACCCCTTAAATCAGTCATACAGTTTTTCAACTATGATGTTTTCATTTTAGTTCCCAGTCGAGCTCCGTCTGGACTTGAAGCTTATATGGTGTGGGAGACAGATATCTTCCTTCGCTGGTCCTCAGTCCCCCAGGGATACGAAAACGGCATTATCCGAGGGTTCAAAATTTTCTTAAACTTAAAAAACGGAGGGAAAACTCATGTCTTTGTTATCAGGGAAGAAGGAAAGAGACTGGAGGCTTTATCCAACCTCAAGCCATTTTCAGAGTATGAAGTGTCCATATTGGCATATACTTTATCGGGAGATGGCGTGACATCGTCAAGTATCACAGTAACGACAGACGAAAGTGGTAAGCTTTACATGTGATTGTCAGAGATGGCGTGACAACCGTAACTTTACCTTAAACATTATCAAGAGCCATTCGTTATACAAGTCATGGAATATAAACCTTAGAAAATGAGTTCCTTGTTTTAAAAAAAATAAACAGTTAGTTGATAACAAATAAGAAATTTATTATTAATTATCGTTTCTTAATCATGAATTGATGTTATTTAATTATTAATTAATTATTCTAATCATCTTCGATCTGTAACATACAAAGTGTACCTCAGTGTTGGTTGGGTGTCCTGTTTTATAACAAATGTTAGGCATTCCATGAGTCGTCCGCGATAGATCCCCCTAAGATTTCCGAAAACTTGAATGATCTGACTACAAGTTGAGAAATATTTCCTTTCAGACTCTCGCCGAATTCTCTTTCCTTTTTCTCGAAGAAGATATGATTTTATCGGACGAGGTCTGCTGGATAGCATTGATGTCGGGGAAGGAATATAAAAAAAGGTTTCTTTTTAGTTCCTAGTGCCCCTCCGTCAAATGTGACTGTCCAGGAGAAAACTAGTACGAGCAGTCTGTCGATCCAGTGGATGGATGTCCCGGGTAATGAAACAAATGGTGATCTGATTGGATATACGGTGACATATCGGGCCGTGAAGGTTGGCGGGAAGGAAGTTGTCGACGATGTAGTAAAGAAGAAGTCAGTCGGGACTGGAACCCATTGGATAACTTTGAACGATCTGCAGAGTTTTACGACTTATGAAATCAGAGTTGCAGGAATCACACGGCGCGGCGAAGGAGTCTTCAGTCAACCAATTGAGGGAGGTTTGTGTAAAGAATGCGTTTACATCGTTTCAACCCGCGGTTAAAACTATGTCAAAGGGGAACAATTTCACATCATATGCTGATTTGTTTTGCTCTTCTTAGTTTGAGAAAAACGTGATGATCAGTCATTCACTTTCACTCGGGTAACCCCGTCAATAACGCACTGTCGTTAGGATAGATATCAAATTGCAAATTTTCGGGTACCCAACGCACGTTTCACGCGAGACGCATCCTACGTCTCGCATCATTCGCAAACTCATCGTGTATTTCTCCACTCGCGCCAACAACTTCACCTGTAAACGCGTTTCTTACGTGCTTTTTGTCCGCGACTTCTGTATATTTCACATATTTAAACACAGATTTGCAATGAGCAGAATTACTGGTATTTCGAATGCGTGCCGAGTAACCTTGGAACTAGTGATCACTATCGGTGATTGGTCAGGCAACAAAACTATTAAAACTATTAACTTAAAATTTGTTTACCTCTTCCTTTAAGAAACCTGTCATTGTGGAAAGCGACTCACAACAAACTACTGGTTCTACCCTCCTTACGTCATCCGCTCCTCAACCAATCACACGAGCGGAATCTTTATGGCTATTCTCGACGAAATGGTTCTCCACTGCTGCAGTGATTGTCGAAATGGCCACGGTACTTCCTTCATAGATTATACCTTAGATGGGAATAACAATCCCTCACAGAAAAACACCGAGGAAGACATGAGGATATCTATCGACTCTAACACAGATTTGAGTCTACCAGTGTATGGTTTTTCTGACCAGCGGAGGTACATGAAACGCTTCCGGTTTGTGCCTATCGTGGAGTCCCCTGGGGCAGCATTTATTGTGGCAAGGAAGGAGTTTGGATCTGAATCACCCATAGAGCGCCTGGTGTATGGCTTTGGACCGTTATTACTATTTAATGTGATGACAATTTGTTTGACCGGATTGTTGATGTGGATTCTGGTAAGTTCTTTTTGGCAACTTGTCGATGGTGTTATTGATGAAAAAATTCAGAACGATGCGCGTAAACCTTTTACACTCTCACATAAATAGTCATACTCTCCCCCCTTTTTCCTTTAGACATCCTATGGTACTGACCAAGAAAATTTGTTAGACAATCAGGAGCTTCAACAATTGGAGATCATTTCCTTTATTCTCGTGAGCTTTGTATTTGATTTCGGCGTGAGACTGTAAGAAGAAATTGGAGGCCAATCAGTCTTTGGGGTTTAAGGCTTAAACAAAACTAAAAAAAAGGATGATAATGGTGAGCAAGGCTAGGAATGTCGCCAGGAAAGACATAATGATGGCCCCTAGTCGTGGCTATCTCATTGTAGCCAGATGCCAGAATCGGCACCGATATAATTACTATCATTTTAATTGCGTCACTTTCTTATATCATCTTTGCTGTCATCATTTGTAAAATTAAAATCCTTACCATGATTGTTTGTCTTTTTGATACCACTGTTATCATTATTAGTTATTGATTCATTTTTTGTGCTCAATTTCAATAGGAGAGTATTGGAACTGACTCAATCTTTCCTCGCTCGTTTCTCAATGGTTTCCCAGAAGGCATTTGGTGGTCATTTGTTACCATGAGTACAGTGGGGTAAGACCATTCGTTACGAAGGACGCGAATAAATGCCGATTTACACTCCCAAGGAAACTTTGAAAGGAAGAAATTAATGTTTGTTAAATGAAGATTAGAAGATTTTTCTGAAATATTTGACCTCAAAAAGCAACGAGTATTCATTGATTAGTAAAAAGCTGAAAAATTATAGCTACGTTAGTTACGGAAAGGATTTGTGTTTGTTAACCTTTTTCGAGTTCTTTCCACCTTCGTGTCGCGTTGTGTGATATATGCTGTAAAAATCAGACTCCTTTGCACGCATTGCGTGCCGAACTCTTCCTCTTGACACAGGTACGGTGACCGGATTCCTTTGACATACAGTGGCCGATTGTTGACTATCATTTGGATGTTATCAGGAACAGTTTTGTTTACGTTGCTGGTCAGTTATATCAGCAGTGGACTGACTATAGCCTCGTTAGACAGCAACATCAAACTTTATGGATGTAAGGTGAGCGCACGGTTATATGGCTCGTTTTTACGCCTCGTTTTTACACCTACAACTATAAAACAGTTGACGCCATGAGCCGTAGTTTTCCGTCTCTCTTCAGAAGGACACAAGGGTAGTTCATTTTCACAGCAATTCATGACGTCAAGAGAAGATGAATAGCGGGCTAAAAGACGCAGAATCCTCATTGAATCCTTTGGATAATTTTTAACTAACTTTCAAAAGTATTCCGTGATTGCTTTAGTTTTGCCTTCCTTCACGATGTGATCGTTATGGAAATCGCGCGCTACCATCTCAACCAATCAGATCTAATACTAAAACCAATCGGAATTTGGTCACGTGCTTTTTCCTGTAAGGTTGCTTGCTTTTACATTGAGTTCTCATTGGCTCCTTGTGGTATTTTGTTTGCTCTGATTAGCTGTTGTGATATTTTTGAACTTGGTTTTTCTATACAGCCAAAATGCACTCTATCCCCAAACAATAAATCTAGAGCTAATTAAGATAACTTCCTTCGTTAGAAATCTCAGACGCATCTAAAAATTAACTAATCTTGTTTCACAAAGTTCGTTTCGTCATTTTCCACCCAAACTTTCAAGAAACAAAATGAGGTACACAAACCATTATACAAAACTGGATGTATGGGGTTTAGAAATAGCCTTCGAGTATGTCCCTTATGATACACAAACTTTTGAGCTTAGTTACTTCTAAGTGTTCATCTTTCTTAACATTTTCCTTTAACAATTTATTTTAACATTTTAGGTCGCTGCCCTACAGAACACCCCAGAATCTCGTTTGGGAATTAGACGAAATGCCCAAATCAACCAAGGTAAGATGAGATCCGTGTACAGTAATAGCTTGGGTTGCTGCAAGACGCTTTCCCGCTTTCTGCAGTTTGAAAAAAGCTTTGCTGATCTTAAATCGGGCTAAGTATGAAGTCAGGGCTGGAATCGACTCTGGAATGTTGTGTGTAGTAAGCGTTAGTAGCATACGTGAGCATTATGGTACTCAGCCAATCAAAGAAGAGTTTTGTACCACGTGGTACAAATGAAGCAATCATATAGCCAGCTTGGCCTCCAAAATGGTGGTTTGATGTAACGCAACCTCGTCGTCACGCCTAAGTCATGCCATCTTATAGTTCAATCCGGCCATACGATTGGTTATCACGTGGTACAAAATACTCTGGTTGGCTGTGTACCGTAGTGCCCCTGTATACAACTAGTGTGGTATAAAGATAAGGGCGCCAAGAAGCGGACTGCACGATCTTGAAAACGTTTTTAGGAAGTACCAAGTGGTAAAATTTAACGGAAATTATCTGAAAGAGGTCCCTGACACATCCCTCGTAGTTTTTTTCTCCTCAGAATTTTTTTATGTATCAGAATCTTCTCTTCATAGGACGTAATTACACTCGCCTTGAGGACATCAGGGATGATCTACTGACTGGGGAAGTGAAAGGTGCTTTAATTGACGCTTATGTTGCAGCAGAAAGAAGAGACTTGTTTGACGACCCCGCTTTGCACATTGACCAGGTAAACGGCGATAATATATTACTTATAAAAATTTTACCATGACTAAGAAACCGCACTAACAAATCTCACGTTTTGTAGCGTACACAAAAGAAATCGAAGCGGGTAAGGCTATAAGAAAAAGCAAATGGCGAGAACACATCTGACACTTAACCCTTTGACTCCCAAGATCTAGTTGTTAATTCTCCCCTAAGGCTGTTACACATTTTCCTGTAAATTAGTTGCAAGAGTTTTGTGTTCAATCAGGATGACGACTTCTACCTGATAGGTTTTAATATTCTTATCACCTGTTTTGCTGGTAAAATGTTTGAAAATTATAGGGAGAAGTTACATGTTCATCCCGTCTGGGAGTTGAAGGGTTAAGCGACTTGACCTACATTCACACGAAGGGTTTTAACGAAAGCAATAGTACACAAAAGGGGAAGCACCGAGATACACGTGAAGGACCGCGCTTCTAAATGCCCAAGTAAACAATTGTTCTCCATCGACACCTGCTTTTGCTTCCGCAGTTAATTTACTACCGTTCGTCGTTTGGTATAGTAGTGGCTGGAAACTCCACAAGACTACAGCATTGTTTTTTGAACTACCTCGTTCAGAAGCGATCTTTGATGACACGCCTTGTCAAGAACTATACTAAAATACTACCGGTAGGTAGAAATTCTTTTGTACTTTTATCCGGGTGAGGATAATCACTGTAAAAATGTATTCTTGAACAAGCACAAAGCATAATTTCCCGTCGAGGCCTAAAGGAGAAGTATGCATTCGAAGCCACTCACTTTTTCCTCGTTTCTGCTTGCACTTTGAAATTCTTAAGAGTAGCTTGATCTTTCGAAAATTGTCTTCGTATGTGTTTTTGAATGAAGTTTGGTATCATTAATTGAGTTGATAACGTAAATTGGCCACCGTTAGAAGTTGCAAAGCTGACATTTTGAGCTGACGTTTGAGCTCTAACGAAGGGCTATCGCTCGAAACTTCGGCTTCTTAACCCTTAACGGTATCCAATTCTCGTTATCAACTCAGTTGATAATACCATATTACCATGTTGTACTCTCCCATCGACGCAGCACTGCAGTTCCCTTAGAAACTCCCCCCCCCCCATTTATTCATTTGTACTTGAAAGTACCAAGTTCTCCAACGCATGACACCTTTAGACCTCCCAATTTTAAGAAGGCTTTCACAGTGATTTCTGTACCTTGTTTCCTATAAAGAGTACTACGTCCTCCATGGCTGAAGAGAAAAGCTCAGATCTTCTGAATACCTCGGAAGGAAAATTTAAAATAGCTTTGTTAGCCCTGGCACCTATCACAGCGGCCGCTATGTTTTTTGGGATGGCATATGATTGTGTCATGCGCAGAAGGACCAGGAAGGTGCATCCTAGCGGTTGGTACCTTTTCTCTTCGAAAACTTCTTTTATACTATTATCAATTATTATGGTTGAAGTTTCAGCCATAAAAAGCTCAAATCAAAGGTATTTTCAAGAGGATTTTGTTTCTGTGGTACGTTTTTTAGTAGGGAAAAGACCTATATTGACGAGCAAGATTGGAAATTTTGTATAATAATTGAAGGAACAATTTCAAAACTGTGATTGAACTGAACAATCAAAGTGGAGAGCAAAAAAATGATCACAATTAGGATACTATTTCGAGCGTCTTTCAATCTCTGGATAAAACCCTGAAAACCATTTACTCGGAAGCTACGTAAGGCCTTTTTTTCCATGCAGAGGTTTCCTGCACACCAATATTCTCTCACATTGTTTGACCATACAGACCAACGGAAATGAATTTCGTACCAGTGGACGATCTCCAGTATCCACCAAACCGGTCTCATCTGCTCTTTTACAAGAATGAGGAGACCGGGTGAACACCCTCTGCAGGGAAATAGGGAGGGATGGGTAGGTGGGTGAAATTTTTTTTTTTCACTGCTCTAACACTTATCCTCATAGATGCGAGGGGTGAATGCAAATTGGATCAATTTATCCTTTACTCAGCTAAAAACTCAGCTTCCTTTTTCGTTTGCAGAGGGAAGCACAAAGAAACTCTTGTATAGAAACGAGCTCCGTAAAGAAATGAGCCTACTTGTCGAGGAATTTCGCGAGGCAATAGGTCAGCGGTGCACTGTTTTGGCACAGAAACATCGTGAAGAGAAAAGGCTGATGAGGGGACTGCTGATAAGAAGGAGGACCGGGAGGCCTGGGGCTAGAGACGGTTGTGATTAAAGAATAGAAGAGTTAGATGGAAGCATCTACAACAGGTGATTATCCAGTGAGTACCTGAACAACTTGAAATTAAACATTTAATGGATCAGGAGATATTTCCACAATAAATTAGTAACGTTTGTCTCACGCATCGTTTCCTTCAAACGTTGAGGAACTGGTTAAACGTCGTCTCATAAAGCATTCTACTCCGTTGCGATTGGTTGGTCTTCAACAGCTGTGATTGGTGCATTTTCGATGACGTACTCTCTTATGTCTAATCGCAGCTATTGAAAATAAACCAATCACAGCGGGGTACAGTGCTCCATGTGGTAAATGATAACCAGTCCACCTCAACGCTTGAGGAAGACAAGCAGAATCGAAAAACATTGCGATCGATGTAAGTGACTACATCTTGAAAAAAACTAATATACTATTACATTTTCGGTTTTTTTTAACATAACGAGTAACCACAGCCTTTTTTAGGAAATATTTTTCCCTTTTATCTGTGAAATCCATTTATGAATGAGAAGCAAATAAATGAAACATGAGGTTATTTTTGCCGTTCGCGTCTGGGCTAAACGTCAAACTAAATCTCACTAACATTATTAAGTGTCTATTGGATTTAACTTTACAATATCTTCACAATTAACTCTAAAACCACACGAGACTATCACAGTGTATTTCATTGTGAATAAATCAACCACTAAATTTAAAAGACGACTACAAATTTTGTAGCCACAATATATTAATTTCGCTCATTTTTTTCTATGTGGTTTAACCGTTTCATTTGTTTGTTTGTGTTTTGGATGGTGGAATATACGTAAGATCAGTGTTGTCACATAAATAAAAATACGTACAATACGTCGTTACAACCATTAACATCTTAAATATATATCCTACAATCGTCGAGCAGTGTGTGGTGATCAACACTGGTTCTCAGAACCTAAAGAATAAAATTTCCACATAAGTAAAATAAACCGAAGAATTCGGACGCCAATAATTTCTGTATACACTCGGTTGCAATAACTTTGACACTTTAAATGCACCAAGGATGACACAAAACGAGCTTCGGGAAGCGTTCGGGCAGTTACATAATTAGTAATTTCCTTTTCTCGTTATTCATAGGAAATATTTTTCATGATGATCCTCTCCTTTCAGGAAAACTTGGATTAGCTTCAATCGTTCATTACGCTCAACTGATAGTGGCTGCTGTCTTCATGCCATTGAGCCCCATCCTTGTTGGTTAAAGCTTTTAAGGTGTTAGATTTTTTTTTTAACTGAGCATGGACACTCGATTGCAAAAACGTTGACACCTAATAAGCTTGATTCACGAACGACAAGACCCAACACCTTTATGGGAAATGTTCGCACAGATACATAATCAGTGATTTACTTCTCTCATTATTCATGGAAAATCTTTTCTCATGATAAAACGTTTTCTTCCGGGAAAGTTTGGATAGCTCTTATCATTCATTACGTCCAACTTATGGTTATCATCTACATTTGACCCCTAAAACTGCTGAGTCTCATCGTTCATTATAAACGCTTGTTGCGTGTCAACGTTTTTGCAATCGAGTGTATAAATTGAAGAATATCTACCTCAGTCCATGACGAGCGCTGATAGTACTGCTATCGTTCTTTATAGTCTAAGTCTGCGCTCGATATGGGTCCTTTCGAACGATATTCCTGTAGCTTATGGGATCTTTTTCTGTCTGCTTTCAAGGGGGAAGTCAATGGTGAAGGGTCTAAAAAACAAAACAAAACAAAAAAACACAAACAAACTGGTTAAATCACGCAGAGCGAAAAATCAAGGCCTTGGCTCTATTCATTTAACCTTTTAACTCCCATGAGTGACCAAGAGAGAATTTCTCCTTACAATATCAATAGAATATCAAGCCAACAAGTGATGAGAACAAAGAAAAATATCAATTACAGGATTATTAGTTGATCCAGTACCAAATGCTCCGAACTAACATTATATGAATTATGTGGCAGATAGTAAGGAGAATTACTAATGAGATCTTGGGAGTTAAAGGGTTAAGGACCTGGAGGGAGGGGGTGGAGGTTTTTGGGAGAGTTGCGTGAGGGGAGAGGGTGAAGGGTTTTGGGTGAGTTGCGTGGGGGGAGGAGTGGAGGTTTTTGGGATAGTTGACAAAACTGAATCTTTAAATTCTCACAATTCATTTGAACGAGCGCGTTACACGTAATTGTAATCAAAGCCGATCGAAGTTTAACGCGTCCACTGTACTTCCCAACAATTAGACAGTTCAGTTATGGGAATAAAACGCTCCAACAGTTTAACTTACTTTCATAGACGGTGGAAATGGTGTTCTCTGACGATGGAGACCACTCAGGAATTGTGCTACTTTTACTTGTGGAGGGTCTACAAAAAAAAATGTCAATAATGAATATCATAGCAATCATTCTTGACTAAGCGTTGGACATATGGCTTCTCTGCATCTTCTGCGTGTGTGGAGCATTGCGCTCCAAAACAAAACTGCGAAAAAGATTATTCAAAAGTGAACTTGTTCTACGCACCAACAAACTCCCCCCTCCCTTCTCTACTGGGTGAGCGACCTTGTGTACCCTTGCAATCTCTAGATCTAAACATCGATTCTCGGTAGTCTGACATCACTTTCTCATAATTTTAGTTGTTAAATCAAACCAAAGTCCAACTTGATCATTTTCTTACTTCTCATCACCGTTCTGCTTAAAAATGTATTGATAATGTAAGAAGAAGTTCTTTATGGGTAACTCTTGGGAGTCATAGGGTCTAAGGATATCAGGGGCTTATTTAGTCGGCTTGCGACTTTCTATCAAAGTATATCGGCCGAATAGCGGGGCTTGTACGAAATTCAAAAGTACTCTTATTTTGAACACCCATTCCCTACCTGAGGTTGGTTGGGGGTGTGTCTGGAAACTGATGAAGTCGCCGCTGTTTTGCTTTTGGACTTGAAATGCGATCCAAACTCTGCAAAAGAGAAAAAAGAAGGGTTAAGTCGACATTGGAGCCCAGTGCCACATTCAGACGCAGTTTATCACAGTTTCTGTGGTATAAAGAGACCAGAAGGATTGCTACTTCCCCCAGGTAGAATGACAGTCTATCTATGGCAAATTCCCTCCCCATCCCCTTCCCCCCCTCCCCGCCGACTCCCCTGTAACCATTCGTACTCTCGGGTGGGGTGGAGTGGAGCATTGTTAGAGTAATGTGTCTTGCCCAAGAACACAATACAATGATGTGGACAGGTCTTAAGGCCTCTCGACCCAAGCCCCAGCGCGCTAAACGTGGGGCCACATCGTCTCCCTAAACTCTGCGGAAAGGGAGGAATGAATGAAAGTGCCTTTAAAAACTAATTCACAAATGCGGTTACCGAGGCCTATTCACCTACCTCTAACAATTTCGTGGACAAATTACTGGCGTCCAGACTCTCTTGCTGTGAAGGGTAATAAAACACACGTTCAGTTGGATTCAATATTCTTCTTTTAAGTTATTCAACATAAATTCCGGTGTCAACGAGATGAAAACTTAACCATCATCCAATTAGTTTGAATGTTGGATATAACATAGCTGATAACCAAAGAAGTAAGTAGCCTAAATTTGTACAATCACAGGAAAAAAAATTGCAAGAGATGGGATGAAAGTAAAGGTATTGGCGACAAAACTTTTATGTTATTCCAGAGTTTTGCAACTTCAAACTACTTTGTCAACAATTTTTGCCGCTGCTTGTGGCCTTGATCAATACATATACCGCAGGCACAATTGAAATGTTTTTCGCAAAAACGATTTAAAAGTTTTGATAAATTCTTCTTGCTTTCGAAGCAAAAATACTTCATATTCACAATTACACAACGTAAATCAGTCACATGACCATCACCTACCCTATAGTCTTCCGCCATTGACTTCGCTCCTTGAAGTTCTCGTCGAATACTTCCAACTCTTTCTTTATATCTGGTAGGAAAAATAAACTTGAGCTGATCAACTTGTTGCTGCAACTATTGCGAAAGAAAAATTAAATGGGGCGATGCCGTGAAACATTGTAATCTGCACACATTTATTGGGTATCTAACAAGCTCCTTAAAAAAATAATAATACGCTGACAAAAATGTGTAGCTCACCTGACATACTTGTCGTGAAGTTTGTCTCGTTCTCTCTGTTCGCCCTGAAAAAAAAAGGAAAAAGAGTGTTAAGGATAAAAGAAATCTTTAAAAAGGGGTCGCATCGATGCCATCATTATGGGAGGGAGGGGCTTCCTCTCTCCCAACATGATGCTATAGCTTTGAATCCTGCCGACTTACGCTCCTGACGCACTCTTCGTGCGATTGTGTGTCGTTAAAACAAACGGTGGAAAAAAAGAACGAAGAAAAGTATCCCGAGGACCCAATGAGGACACAGGAATAGAAAAATGCATACTAACTTGAGTGTTGGAAAACGCACATGACCAACTCGTGACTCCTTTTAGTTTTAATCTCATTGGTTGCCACGAGAATGAGGAGAAGAGAGGAAGAGGATGAGGCAAGATTTCTGGACCAATCAAAGGGCGACGTAGATCAAAACCAATGCAGTCCTAGATTACTGTCCACGCTGAATTAAAAATTTATCTATTTAATAGCTTTCTGAAAACCTACCCGTAACCCTTCAAATTCCTCTATGACCTTTTGACGATCATCCAAAGCTTCCGCCGTAGCGTGTAGCGCTCGCGTGCTCTGCAGATAGAACCACAAACACCTCGTCTATAAAAAACTATACACGATTCCAACATTTCTAGGGCTCAGAACACAGAAAAAGGAACCCCTCTCAGCCCTTTACAGCCTAACATCAGTATACACATTCTCGATAATGTTCTCTATACATTTCCATGGGAAATGAGAGGGAGAATTTGTTTTACGATCAAGAGCTTCTTAAGTTTATGATCATTCCTTTTGCTCTTGTAACCTAACTGTTTGATTCACGGGCGACATTGATAAGAGAAATTCAGTTAGATTCTAGTCACTCTGAGCGCTTAAAAAGTAAAAGCCTTTATACGGGTCCAAGTGGCCCATTGGACCAGTGCTTAACTTCGGTTTTCTTAGCATGAAGCAGCTAGGAGTATTGCTACTCCCCCCTGGATGGGATGCTAGTCCATCACAGGGTTACCCTCAGCACATTTGCTGGTACCCATTTGTACACCTGGGTGAAGAGAAGCATTGTGAGAGTAAAGTGTCTTGCCTAAGAACACAACACAATGACCCCGGCCAGGGCTCGAACCCAGACCACCCAATCCAGAGTCAAGCGCACTAACCATGAGGCCACCGCGCCTCCACACTGAGCGCAGAAAGCTATAGGTAAACTTGCACTACGTTCTTACCGTTTCAAGATGCGTGGTCAGTTGAGTTATTCTGTCCTAAGAATGACGAGATACAAACAAAATTGAGGATATGCACTTGTCTAAAAAAACTCATATTACTATCAGAAGTAGGAAAGAAAATATTACCTGAAGAGTTTTGATGTTGTCGTTGTTCTGTTTATTTTTGGATTCCAATCCTACATGCATAAGAACACATTTAAAATTTCGATAGAGAATTCGACACTTACATTAACAAAGTGCAAAAAGTGTGAATCTGAATGTTCTGTTGGTGGGGTGGCGACACGTCGCCGACAACTGATAACATGCAACCCATTGATACTGTTGCCTTTAACCCTTTAACTCGCAATATCCAGTTAGTAATTCTCCCTACTTACTACCATACACATTCTTGTTAATAAGACAAGAGAATTTGGCTTTATATTAAGACAACATCCTCAAGCGGATGAGCTTGTCTGTTCTCATCACCTGTTTGCGGAGTGATGTACTGAAATCACGGGGAGAAGTTACAGTTTAATCACATACGGGAGTTTAAAGTTCAAAGGGAAGGGATAGTCACAATAGCGGCTCCAGGAGAAAGGTCCGGGGGTCCCTCTCCCTCCGATCATGCTAACGAAAATAAATGTTAAAAGTTGCACCGTGGAACAAAGAAATCTGAGTCTTCCACGAGAAATCGAACCACATCACGTTTCTTGCTTCGGATACCTTTCTTTTGAGCTGCAAGTTCATCAAGAAGCATGCTCTGTTTGTCAAGTTCTGATATAAAATATTCTTTATCCTCATCCGCCTTTAGGACAACATCCTAGAAAAGACAAGCAATATAAAATTTTTTTCCAAGACCAAGACGACCCAGATGTCACACTATAGTTCAATTTACAGTCGTGTACTTAATTCGCCAAGCCAAGAAGAAATAGAACTTAAGTTGAGTTTGTTGCCAATCAAACTTTGCTTCTTTTGATAAGAAATTCACTCAGGCTAACTTATTCCACGTCTCTATGTAATAGGATACCCCAAACCCCGCTTTCATAAAAGAGAGGCCTGGTTACATGTCACGTGAGATAAGAATGGTCTATCCACGTGCTCAGACGTCTTACTAACCCGTATTCTCTTATGGCTCCACTCAGCTTGTTCCTTAAGTCTCCGCTCCGACAGCAAGCGAGCCTTCAGCTCTTCAGAGAGCCATCGAAATTTACCCTTTAAAACAAATAAAAGCCAAATTTCAGCTAAAAAGAAGGCAAAGACTGCAAGTGAACAAGGGCAGATCCAAGAAATACAATTTTGCGGATCCAAGGGGTCAACCTTTAATTCAGAAGACAGATTTTTTTTCCCCGCGGTTGATCGCTTCTCAACCACTTTCCCTGGAAAACAAGATTAAAATAAAAAGAATTGTACTCACTATCATCTCAGCAATCCAGTTTTGGGAATTATTTCTTATGCTTCCACTTGAGAAGAGAGACTGGAAACAAATAACTTTAGTCAGAAACTGTTTTTTTTTTCTGGAACAATTGTTCGCATCCATTCAGTCCTGTTGGGGTCTAGTTTCCTTTACTTCCCTCTCGTCAGAATTCAGTTCTGACCGACTGATGTATGACATTGACTGACTAACGGACAGACGGACAAACGGACAGACGGACAAACGGACAGACTGACCGACTTCCTAACAAACTGTCTGTCTGCCTGACTTATTGACTAAGTCACAGACCTAATAACCGACCGATCAACTGAAAAATTGAAGCACTCACCGGAAGAGGCATGTCCGAGTCCCTGCAAACTTGCTCAATAACTCGATCCAGCTGGTCATCCAACTTTTGCAGTCCAGACTACGACGAGACACACACACAAAAAAAAACCAATTTAAAAAAATTCCAAAATTCTCGGTTCCTAATTGCCATCCGTTCTCCGTCCTAAGCCAACTTTTTTTCCTTCTTGGTTTATCATTTTCTCTTCCCTTGTTCTTCCTAATTGAGTTCATATTTTGTGGTCATTTACAATCCATTTTAATTTTTTCCCTTCTTAGACTTCAGTGCTCCTTCCCCACTACTGTCCTGTTTTTGTTTTTATATCCTAACGAGCCACTATTTTGGGATCCAAATCGAGCTGAAGTTAGTCCTGCACTGAATATAAACACAAAAAGGACAAAATGAAATAAGAACCTGTTGTTCCTCTGCAGCTTTCTCCAGCGCGTACTGATTACGTCGCAAGGCATCCTCTAACTGAGTAATCCTTCAAAGGCAAGAAAAAGAGAAATGATACTATCAAACCCTGAAAAAGAGCTTACAATTGTAATGTAGGCATGTAACGCATAATGAACGTCAGTTTCTAGTTACTCGACCCTCTCTCACAAGAAATCCAACAAAAAGTGAACAATTCAAACAAACCTGCTCTGGTGTACTTCAATTTTCTCTTTCTGCAGAAAATCAATGGAAAAACAGGCAGGTTGAAAACAAAGAAAGACGAAACATATTGACAAAATATGCAAAAATTTCAAAGTGAAAACGTTATTGTTTAATTTACAAACCAAGTTCTCCGTTTCTTCTTTGCCCTGTTCTAAGCGAGCTTTCAACTTGGTATTCTCCTCTGTTGCTCTAATTGGTGACAAAATCACAATTACTGAACCAAAATGAGTCAAAGTTTGGGCAAAACATAGCGTTGAAAGGGTCAAATTAAAATGCAACAGCTATTCGAGGTGTGCTCGTCCAAGGGTCACTTCATTTTTTTTTTGTCGCAAGATCTGCGTTTGGTAAAAGGAGCTGATCTGTCTGATGTTGAATTGTTGAATAAGAACTTACCAAAATAACCGAACGCGCAGAAATGGAAAGGTGATGGAAAGCTTGTACCTGTAAGACTCTCATATGCCCAAGTTTTAAGTCAAATTATTGTGAATACTTACACATTAAGTTCAGTGTTAAGTTTCTCCATTTCCTCTCTATCTTTTTCTTGGCGTTTTCGTAAGGCTTTTATAGTTGACTTTTCATCCGCAAGTTGAATCTGTGTGAAAAGCCATACATGACAGTTGTTGAAAGTCACCTCTGAGGCTTTTTTTAGTAGCGCAATGTAAAAGCATTATGGCACGATTTAAGGACGTAAATAAAATTGTTGGTTAATCCTATCCCTTTTGGGCTCGATCTCTGAGTAAAAAGGAGACCTTCAAATGTCCCTCCTCAACCATTAACATTTTCTTTTAACGGTTGGCCATTTCCGTTTACGTATCCAGCATAAGCATTTGTACATGTTTTTGTGTCTGTTACGAGGTATTTCGCTTTTTATATTTAAACCCTTCCTTAGATATCTGCCAAATGTAAACCGTGGACCCAATCGATGAAACTGAGTCTGTCCAAACCGCATTACCTTCATGTCCGCAATTTGATCTTCTACTTCACCTCTCTCTTTATTTGACTTTTTAGCAGCGTCTTGTAGAGCTTGTTCGTGATTAGCCTGGAAGATAATGGTCAACAGACAGGATGTTCTTCAAATAGAAGTCCAAAGTGTTCGTTAGTCTGCATGCTTCGTTAACTACAGACAAAAAAGGATTGATACAAACCGTGAGGGCCTGGATTTGCTCCTCAAGCTCTCTCAACGCATTCGTATGGGCATCCCGTTCCTGACGAGAAACATTTTAGAATTTAGCATTTTATGAAATTGGGATGGAAATGATTTGCACTTTGAATGATTACATACTTGTTGCAGCTGAGCGTAAAGCGAAGCAGCTTCCTCCTTCGTTGCTCTATCTTGCTGTCTGGCTTCTAAAATTCGTTGTTCATAATCCTGTATGATGTGAAAGGCAGGTGGTCAACAACCATCTGAGATCAGAGAGAGTCTAACCCAACCTTTCCCTCCCTGGAAGTGAGTTCCCGGCCGCACGAAGTACAAAGAGCTTTTCTTTTGACCTGGCATTGATAAATAATGCAGCTGCGTCTCTCAACATTCACCCAAACTCAGATGCATACAATTAAGAACTCTGGAGTTCGTCTCGTTTCTTCATTTCGTATTCACTATGCCGAATAGCGAGGTATCTGCAAAATTCTAAAGAAGCATCCTAAAAATTACAGAAAAACATCACATGAAAACCCAGGTAGGTATTCTGAAGACTAGTCCTTCTCAAAAGCTGACCCCCTCTTCCTAGAATAAACCAAATGGCCTTCACATCAGTAGCACGTCGAGGAATTTTTATTGAAATCTTGCAAGTTTTTCAATTTGGAGAATGAAATGGTCCTATAATCATTATTTCCAGTCCCCTCTCCTCACCTGTCGTTGTTCGGCTTCCTCTTGGAGCTTGGAAACCAGCTTGGCGACTTTAGCCCGCAGTTCTTTGATTTCCCTCAGCTCTTTCTAAAATAAATTAGAGAAAAAGAATTGAAATAAATGGAGAGGAATCTCTTAAAACGATTATAAATCATTCTTTATAAAAGGCTTAAACACCTTGCAATCAAGAAGCAAAGGTCGGCTGACAACAACAACAAAAAATTGTAAAAACAAAAGCGTTTACCCCATTTAACTCATTATTCAAATCGTAAGTCAAACTTATCGTTGCCTGAAATGGCGGACGAAAGTAACAAAGTTTCCACCGATGAAGTAATGTAAGTACGTAAAGCCTCGAGAGAATGCAACAAAATAACACAAACAATTCAAGACACGCATTAAGAATGAAAATTTGAATTAATTAAATACCACTGGTTCTTGCGAGTGAGCTGCGAGTCCTTGTTCCGCCTCTCTTTCCAGTTTCTTGCATTTAGAACGATACCTAAAACCAAGTAACGCCATTGATTGATAGAATGAAGTAGTAAGGCGATAATATAACAAAAGTAAGATAAGGCCTGCGCTCAAGCCAAAGGACCCTCAAGTTGGAGCTTATCACGGTTACTGTAGCATAGAGTGATAAGAAGTACTGTTACTCCCCTTAGATGGGATCCCAGTTGATCACTGGTTGCTTGGACTTTCTTGTGTATGAGGCTCCGCTAGCGCGCTTTATAGGCAAACGCTACCCTAAAAATACTTACTCTTTTATTGATTGCAGAGCTTTGTTCCTCAGCTCCGTTCTTTTCTTATCGCTCTCCTTCAGCTGGTTCTCTTTGTCCTCCAGTTGTCCTTCCAGTTCCTGTACATCTTTATTCGCCTCCTTGAGTTTCTTGTTAACAGCCTCTAACTCGTTCATATATCGTTTTTTTTGTTCTTCGCTCTCTTCATACTTGGCCAGCAGTTCCCGCATTTGGCTGAGTAACCTCTCCTGCTGCTCGTCCTTCCGATCCATGTCCTGGTGCAGATGTTCCAAGTTGTTCAACAGGTCGAATCTAGCAAAAATACAAAAGCTGGTAAGAATACATTCACTTAAGGTTCGAGCTCAGAGAATGTTTCTTCCAGAAAACGCTTTGAAAGTGTAGTCTGTTCGTCCGGGTGAGTGTAGTCCTGAGAAGGACTGTTGTTGGTAGTGGTGACTGACGTTTCGACAACCTAAGCGGATGTCATCATCAGAGTCAAGTCGGGGTCAACTGATCACAGGCATTCACTTGACTATGATGATGACTTCTGCTCAGATTGTCGAAACGTTGGCCACCACTATCGACAACAGTCCTTCTCAGGACTACACTCACCCGGGCGATCAGACAACACTATCACATGTCACCCCCCCTTCCCCAGGTTCAAACCATTGACCGTAAAAAAAACACTTTCTTTCTTTAAGTTATTTGCACTTCACCATAATTTTTGGAAAACAGAAGAATCGAGAAAGAGCCAACTGCTGCGTTACAGATCTGGCTAAGACAAAGTTGATATCGAAGGGGCATTCTCCTTACAGTCAGGTTACTTAAGTTCCCATTAATATCAACACAGTGTAACCGCGTTGCCGGATATAATGGGAAACTTCCCCTTTGACATCAACTTTGTCATAGTCATATTCTGCCTCTTTGTATAGCAAGCTGGCCTTCTGGTCAAGAAGTTCGCGTTCCAGACCTGGCCGGGTCATTGTGCTGTAATGTTTATCAATATGCTCTAAAGACTTCTCTTCACCCAGGGTAAAGGTAACTGTCCAGGAAATCTTATGAAGTCTTGGTCTGTAATGAATTACCACCCCATCCACGGGATGCAGGTTTTATGCCCAAGAAGCCGGGCTAAGGCTCAATAGCAGATTCAACCCTTTCAATTACTATACCTGTCCATATCCTCCCCTCCCCTGAAATTTCTTCCGGATGGGCCATCATAGAACGAATCCCCAAGATGATTCCTCCGATCCAGATCCCGCTCTAGCTCGAATCGGTCCAAGTTTCTTCTCATCTCAGACGCACTATCTCCACCAGGCCCCTCGGTCCGCCCCATGCTCCTCATTAATTGAGCTGCCGCTGAAGGTGTTCTCCCCAATGATTGACGTCTATGTGCCGCGCCTCTGGTCATTCTCGACACCTGTTGCATAACTTCATCTTTTTCTCGCTCGGACTTCGCAACCTGAAAACAGCAAAATAAACATTGATGAACTTTCCCTGCTGAAGATAAAGTTTCGATGACCAAATAAATTCAAAATATCATGAACACTGGCAGCCGCCTGCGTCTCCTGCCAACTCCTCAAAGGGCCAAGTTGACGTTTATGCCTTTCAACTATGCAGTAAAGGCTGACAATCTTTCCCTCAACTATTCTCCAGTCACAAGTATAAATTGATATAGCAATCTTTCGTGGAAACTAGCATCGAAACCAGGAGTATCTGCAATGCTAGCCGCCACGCAAACCGAAATAAGCCAGGAGCGTAGGGGAAGTCTTGGCTATGAATTTCCTTAAGTCTCTCGTTAAGTAGTTTACACCTATGCTCTTTCTCTGAATCAAAGGGCTCTCAACTGTGAGACGAGGGCCAGAAATTGGCGTACATAGCACTCGAAAAGATTTATTTCGTGCAGATTCTTTGGATTCGCGCGTTTTCACCACCTGAATTAAACAAAAATTATCCCCCATAGGAAGGAAGGTGGGGCAGTTCATGAGCGCTCCTGGACCCCGGTTTGCTACGCCCCTGTATGCTGTGACCGAAATCATCCCTAAGCTCCTTCTATGATATAGCGCACGACACCATGGCAGCATCGCATGACAAATTTTAATTCAATCTTCTCCACACCTGTCCTCTAAGAGATTCAAGTTGTTCCACGAGACGATCGCGGTCTCCTTGTCCTTCCTCCATCTGTCGATTCAAACCTTCCAACCGATTCTGAAGTCTTTTCCGAGTCGACTCGTTGTCCTCTAGTTTCGCTTGGGCCTCTTCGAGTTTCCTCGACAATTCGGTCTTTTCAGTTTCTGAGCGTGAAAACTGTTGACGTAATTGCTCTGCCTTTAGAACGAATTAAAAATTTCGAATAAATATTTGGCCATGTATTTAAAAAAACAGCGAAAAGGTGACAAAGCTTTGGATAAGAAGCACGCTATTTCTTCTACCACAAAGAAACCATAGCGTTTTCTGATGGAGTTCCGTAAAACCAAAAACAAAGTTAACAAAATAGCCTACCAGAACAAAAAAGTAAATGTTACAAGGAATTAATGGGATGTAAGTAGGAACAAGCATGCTGCCTGAAGCGTGGGAAAACGCAGATGGCCAAGCTACGATTAGTTTTAGTTTTGTAACTGATTAGTCGAGAGGGTGGCTCTGGTATACCAAACTAATAACGAAACGTAATGAAGTAAAAACGACGCCATTTCTGATAGAGTTTCGATACCCAATTGACAACTGCTCTGGTGGCTATCTTTTTACTGCACAAATGCAGAGATAACAAATAGACATTTGAAAATGCGTTCAAAATTAACGAAGCATCCCAGCATTTAGGTGAGCTGTATGTTTGCGAGTTTTATTATGTATCTCCACCTCGCTTTCAGGATATTTCTTCATGAAAACGAGGTTGCTTTACGAACCTGATCTACCAGCGCGTTTTTTCCTCCTTCGCTCTGGTCCAGTCTTTTTGTGGCAGCTTCTAGCTCGGCCATGACCTAAAACACATCGTTGAGTTAAGTTAGGTACTACAAATGGTAATTCTGTTCATGCGTGATGCAATCCTGAAAGGTTTTTTTTTGCAATCTCCTTCCCAGAGATTTCTCGGTCAGTTTACAAAATAGAGGTCGATCGAGAGGGACCTTCCTTTCAGGCTTCCATGTTTGCAAGGATCTCGCAACAACATGATCAGCTGCGTGCCACAGGTTTCTCAACACTGGCCGCTATGTTAGAGCAATCTGGCCGAGAAACTTCTAGGGACGAGGTTGGATTTTTAAAGTGTAGAACATTGCTATACCTCTCGGCGTTCCCTCTCTGAGAGTTCCAGTCTCCCCGATAAATCTTCCAAACGTGAAGCAAGTAGTCTCTTCTCTCTCTCGCTCTCCTCCAGGGCCCTGCGTTCAGACTCTAGCTCACTGATAAAAAAACCGATCAAGCAAAATTCTTTCATGATGTGCCAAAAAGAAGCGAGCCAGGGTCGAATTAGAGGAGGGCCATTGTAATTAATCAGAGAGGGGTGGAAGATAGCATTGTAATTAATCAGAGAGGGGTGGAAGATAGGCGATATGGGGTAGGAGGAGGAACATTAATTGCAGGCTATTGTAAGCTGCAGCATTATTTCGTTTTGACAGTTAAGATTTGGGAAAGCTTCAGGTAATTTCGCACAGATTTTTAATACAGGTTTCGTGGCTCAAAGCTTTAGCTATTTCATAAAGGTGATTTGGAAATGACCACGCGATGTGTCAAAAGTGGCGCGTGCGCAATATTGAGGACGCTTTCAAGTTACGATCAAGTGAAAGATCGCTAGGAAATCCCTGGAAACTAAAATTCACTACGACCAACGTTACCCTGTGAGTTGTCGCACTTTGCTAAGGTATTAAAAAAAGAGTAAAACACGGCACACATAAATCACAAAAGGGGAACATCCATCGATATGATCTGATCTTCTGGTCAACGTTTTTTCACTCAAACCTGGTTATTAACCCCATCACAGCTGAGACTGAAACAGTAAGAAGACACATTGGTGCGAGGACAATTCACTGATACCTTGCCACCGTTCGGATTTCATCTCGCATCTTCGTGTCATTGGCTTCATCCAACAAACTCTGCAGAGATGCAACAAATCATATAAAACGTAAGAAAAAAACCTTTGCCAAAGTGGGCTTTGTGACTGCGTCAGAAAAAGAAGAGAAAAGTTTTGAGTTGAATTTTAACAACAACAACAACAAAAGTTCAAGGAAAAATTTATTGATCAATTTTAAAAAGGTTTACTTCACAAGTATTTCGTTTCAAAGAAAAAATAGAGGAAATCCCAGCATTTATTCTAGATATTTATTAGAATAAATTTTATATTTCTAATTTGTGTTTCAGTGACCAGAGTTCCTCGAGTAGCTATCAAAATTTTGCAACGATTCGAAAGCAAACCGTGTCGACATTTTAGGTAGCACTTTTCGAGCCTAACAAACACCCTCCTAGGCCAGGATCTATTGTTAAATAACCAGCTAGAAATTAAAGGTTCTTCAGGGAGCGAAAAAAAATGGATATTTTGGTTTAGGCAGGAATTTTTTTTGTGTTAACTTTATCTCTAGAGAAAGCTTAATCGTAGAAATTAACAACTTAGATTATTTTAAGACTTAAAGTTCTCATTTCACAAGAAGAAAACAAAGAGAGTTTTGCCTTTTTTCAGAGCAAAACAAGAATGTACGTATGAAGAAAGTAGTTACCCGAACATTTCGCAATTCACTGGCGAGTTGACCGACTTCCTGTTGTTTCTTCTCCCAAGATTCTCGCTCCGCTCGCATCTGGTGATCGCACACAGCAAAGAGAGAGAGACTGAAGATTGAAGAAAGCTCCCAGACAAAAGACATGTCGGTGCATTCAGTGCAGTGGATAGAGACGCTGGGGTTTTTCTTAGCGCATAAATGGTTACGAATAAATTTTCATTATTGTTTATCAAATTCGAGGTCTTACATTCGGAGTCTAAACTTGGCTTCAGAAACTTTTGGCGAGTAATCGTGCAAGTGATAAAAGCCTATTTAGGTAAAATCAAAGTAAATGGGATATCGTTGCTAGTAAATACTTAACAGTGCATCTGAAGAAGTTCAGCAAGTGCGTAACTGTGTTTACCTCATGTTGAATTTCCTTGAGTCTATTTTCAATTTCATCTTGTTGCGATTTTTGATTTGCCTGCAACTGTGTAAAGCAATGAGATTCAGTCTCACTTTTGCGGTGTTCCATTTTCCCGCCATTCAGGAAACAGCTTGCCTTCAGATATAATACAACTTCAAATCCGTTTCAAAAAATAGTTTCAAACCTTCCGGGCCAATAAATCTTGTTTAAGCAATCAGCAAGTAAAAGGATTAGTTGTCAGTTATAAGATTAGCACAGATTAAAACCAGAGTAGCTGGATTGTGAAACACCAGATAAACTCGTATCCTAGGTTAGCTGCAGTGAAATCGGCATCAACGTTAACCGCCCTAAACGACAACGTGGCCTTGACGCAGAATTGAAAATTAAAGGTTAATTTATCGATCAAAATTTTACCAAAACTGAAAAAAGTAGTTTTCATTGCTTTGTTTTTATCGAGTTGCATCTTCAAATGCCACAGCTGATCAACCCTCAAAGAGCTAAAAGCCACAAGCATATTTTTTACAGATCATTTTCATTCATTTGCTAGTTTTTAAACGAATTCAACAATACTCCAATCGAGAGTACAACTTGTAGACAACACTTTTTAACCAGTAGAAAAAAACCAGCAGCCACGGGAAATAAAAACCGTTCAAGATCCTCAGCCGATGAACGAACTCAAGGGAATATTCGAAACGGGAGGCTGTCACTGCAGAATCAAATCGTTACATATATTTTGATTAACCGTTAATTGATTATATGTCAACGTGCAGATGTGGGTTAAATGTTGATTCTAACTCAGTTAGGCATAAAATCAAAGCAATCATCCCACATAATCATTTTAATAGGAATTCGGTTAGAAATTAATTCAGTCTGTAATGTCGTTAGCGGCAAAATCAAATTATTCGTTAGAATTTTTCGTAACAGAGAGGGATTAAATTAAAATGCTTAATCTTTAGACTGAGATAAAAATTGAACCAACTGGATGTTTTGATGTGGAATTCAATGCGGTAATTTATACTTACCTGCCTGCATCGTTACAGGCACGTGACATGAACTTTGTGGGTGTTCATTTGGGGGGGTGGCAGTTTCGAGAGAGTACGCGTGTACATGCGCGCGTATATGGGCATGCGTGCGTGTGTGCGTTTGTTGGATGAACAAATTTTTGTGCTTCAGGTTGACTGCAATTTCTTCTGGGAACAATTTTGTTTGGTAAAAATTCTAGAAAGGCATTAAGATGGGTAAATCAAATTTTCTGATTTCATGCTAGTGACAATCTTCATAATCTTCATAACAGCTGGCTAACCTGTTGTCTTAATGATTCTAGTTCTCGGTCTCTCTCTGAAGCTAATCTCTGGCTTTCTCGAAGGACGTCTCGCTCAGCATCCAGTCCCTACAGAGTCCAAAAAATCTTGTTATTAGGCTTACACTACCTTCAGTTTGAGAGAGACTGCAAAACACTTGTTCGGTAAGATAGAACAAAATTGATAAATAGATATAAAAACCTTAACAAGAACTTCAGCCTGACGTCTGCTTGCTTCTTCAGTTTCCCGCAGCTCATTAAGAAGCCTCTCCCTAATCAAAAATTAAAATGTGGAATTAACAGGGTACAACAGCAGTGCAAAAACGACATCTCTCTCAAGTACTTGGATTATAAGTGAGAGAGCAAATTATCTCATTCAAATTGCTATACCTCTCTGCCAAATCTGCTCTGGAGACGACTTCTAGACAAAAAAGTAAACAAGTTTTTATGTGTAAATAAATGCAAGCAAGCAACAAAAATGGCGATTAGTAAGGAAATGATGACAAAGAAATAAACTTTACTGATATCACCTGATGTTCCACTGGGTCCTCGCTGGTCTCGCCTATTAGCACCGCTATAACTATAGTCACCACCAACCCTATTTGTGGACACCAAAAAAAAGAAAAAAAACAGATTACAGAGATATCATGAACTTGAGAATGCCAATAATGTGGTACACTAGCGGTTGAAAACCCATTGTTCAGATTTCAGAGGTGTCCAGCTCTGACATCTTGAAGGCATTTTGAGGTATGCTGAGCTACCTTAATTTGTTTATTTCACTCAATTATTAGCAATTTTTGAGCAGGCTAGCCCAGTTCAGTAGCAGGCTGGTTTGAAAGGGAGCCTGTAATGGGGACCTTTTTTTTAATCATAAATAATCACTTTTTCTTGACAAAGAGGGAGGCTGCATGTTTGCAAGAAACACCCCCTCTTTGTCACACCCTTGAAACTCACAAAAATTATTATGAGGTGAGTGGAACATTATTTGCGAGAGAGATACTGGTTTTTCTACTCCCTAATCAAGCCCAATAGGTGCACATCATTCCTGCTGATAAAACCCACCTTTCCCTCTCCTCCCTTTCCCTCTCAATTTCTCCAGTCAGGCGATTTTGTTCACTTTTTAGGTTTCTCACAGCCTCCCGCAGCTGGTCAACCTGTAAAGAGTATGAATGAAGAGAAGTGATCAGCATTTAATTTCTCCTTACAATATCACCATTGAATCAAAAGTGTAAGTAATAGGAATAAAGGAAATGATCACCAATTTAAAAAGTTCTTAACTGTCAAATAAATTCTCCTTGTCAGTTCCATAGGGTTTGTAAAGAGAACAGTGTGGAGAATACAAGTGCTAATGATAGTTGCAAAGGAATTATGATTAGAAACAGTGACACTAATCTACTTACATCTGATCGGACATCTTTACCAAATCTCACTGAACCTCTTTTCCTTGCTGGTCTGCCATGTTCATCCTCAGACTGAGAAAAAGAATTTAAAATAAGAGTCAAATAAATCCATTTTGATCAAAAGTTTTGAGAGTAAATTATTGAAGTACAGGACTTTTCTTTTCTTACTCCCCACTCCTTAGAGAACAGGGTGCCTACAGCAATTTTTTAATCAATTTTTTTAAATTGGACTTCAATAAAAAGGATGGACTACTCATAGTCTAGGGTAACCTGTGAAAGATTAGTATTCCACTCATGTGGATAATTTAGCATTAGGCCTTTTTGCTTTGCTGCTAAATTTTAAGTTTAAGGAACATAACCCAAAAAAGTTGTTTCAATAAAAAAAAAAGTATTACCTGCGAAGATGAAGGAGTAGGAGGGAGTCTCCGTCTTCTTGAGATTCTTTCTCGTCTTAGAATATCAGCAGACTTTTCAAGCTCAGCTCTTAGCTACAGGTACAAAATACAAATTAAAATAAAAACCTTGCACATCAAAGTTATTGATTCAAACATCGATCAGTAAAAAAGTCCAGCATGAGATTAGCCAGTCAGATTACTGGGTGTGGGGGGTTACCTTTGCAATTTCTTCATCTTGTTCAACATTTATATCCCTGTAGTGCTCTAACATGCGATCTGCTGTGGACAACACTTCTGTTGTGGCCTGAAGTGAAGCAGCAAGGTCCTCCACTTTCTCAGCTACCACTCCACCCCCAATCCTTGATCTTGAAGAAGAGGCATGGCGAGGAGGTGAAGGGGGTCGTGCATAAGGCCGACGCAAGTGGCTCACTCTGAGAGTGCTTCTTTTTGGAGGACGCATCGTTGGCGCTGCATCATAGCTTGCACTGTCATCAGTTTCATCCCAGGGACCTGTGCTTGTTGCCATCCATATACCGTTTTACTTACTTAAGGGTGCTGTCTTCCTGGACACAGCATGAGCAGTGGTGAGTCTGTTTAGTTCCTGATGGATGATTCAGACACAGACAAGGAGAATTTGTTACAGTGTGAAGAGTCATTTATGGCTTTATTCCCCCACCACTTCAGATTCATCTTAAATTTACTCATACTTTCAGCAAGAATAGCGATGTATTTAAAGACAATGTACACTAAATTGAAAAATGACTATCAAAATTTAGCTTCTGATAAACAGCTTATAAGTTAATAATGAATTCAGTTATTTGCCAGAGAGGTGAAACATCTTCCCAAATCTGTCATGATATGCAACTGTTTTCATATATTCTATAATCCAGTGTTTACTCACAGATCAGAGATATTACCTACAACAATTAATTCCTAAATTCTTCTTTTCTAAACAAAAAAAATAACCCTGTTTTAGTAAAGTAAATCAAAATGGAACAGAAAACTCTATTTGCTGTAGCTGTGATGGAACAATGTCTATTCAAAAAGATTTTTAAAAAATAACTTTTATTCCTTTTCTACACAGCCACTTATTGTGGAATACACAGTCTTTGTGGCTAAATTCTATCATTGGTTCAATTCTATACACTTTTGATTTATTGCCATTACCATACTTAAACCTAAATAAAACTGAAAGCACTACACATTTGAAATTAACCAACAGTTTTGGTCAACTACTTAATCATTTATCCCAAATTATCGACTGTCACAGATTATAACAACAAGCATCAGGTTTTGTAAAAAAAGGGCACCAGGCATACTTTCAGCTTTAAGATGACCCATTAACCAATTTAACAAGATCATATAAAAAATAATTATAAATCAAAATTCATTTTCAAACTCTTCTAATCCATATAGGATCATTACATTGACCTTCACATGAATAAAATAACAATAATTTATGCAGACTTGCTCACTGAGGTCATAGTTAATTTCCATTTAAATAGAGCATTATTCAAAATATGAATGCACACAATAGAAAAAAACTTTCATGTTTACTTTAAGATCACAAAAAAAGGATCACATTGATATCCATAGGACTCTGCTATTCAAAACCATTTAATCTCTACACATTAATGAAGGCCAAAATTCAAAACAAGATTTTGAAAATAAAACAAACAAAAGTGATTCATTAAATTCTAGATGCTAACAGTACAGAAAACTTAACAAAGAAGTGAATGTTTGTTTAGCATAAGATACCATGGATATGTTAAAGAAAAGATTTTGCATTGGAAACAGCTCACTCTTATTAGATTTACAATCATAACAAGACCAGATAATTGTGAATTTGATCAAAATGAAAACCCATTAGTGCAATTTATGCCAAATTAATGATGCATTTTCTGTTCCAGCTCAGTGATTTTTTTGTATCTTGATTGGTTGAGTAAAGTGGGGTTAGCCAGAAATAGTTTCTCAAAAAGAAATTAACAGCATGTAACAGTCCGTTATTTTCCTATTCTATCCCACAGGTAAAATATTTGAAATAACAACACCACTACATCTGTTCCCTTGCAAAGAATTCAATGTCTGTAAAATTGGATATTCAACATGATCTTCCCATTTACTGTTTAATGAATTAACATTGCATCAAAAACATTCCTCTATTGATTTAAGTTTCCTATCGTAATTTTCCAGCTGTTGATAGGGCATTAATGCAATTAATGACCAGAAAATTCGATCAATATCAGTATACAGATCTACATCTGGGGATCATCAACAATTTGGGAATCTTTGAGCTACAATTATTAAAATAATTGGATTTTTATGAGCTGAAATGTACTCCATTTTATCTACATTCAAAACTATTACTCTAACCAAGTTTTTAAACAGCGTTTGTTCTTTTAAATTTTACTACCTTCGGAGAAAGTCTTACATTTTCGAGCCCTCCTATCGCTGAAATAAAGATTAATTTGTTTTTCTTCCCCTCTCAGAAGTAATTATAAACAACATCAAGAGGATTAGACAAAAATTTTGAATTTTCGGTGTCACATTTTGCGAATACTGTACATGAGATATTAGATTCCTTAAGACACAGTATTCTGTTCTCATAGAACAGTAAACGACGGATTGAGCTAATTGTAGCGATAATATTTTTAGGTAATCACTTTCAACCTCTCATGAATATTAGCTCACTTCTCTGTGGAATATCTGTTATAGCTGTGATTAATTTGACTCAGTTACAAAGTGTTGCTAAATTTTGGCGAGGTAACGATAGCATTAGCACCTCGATGAATTGTCTAACTAACTATTTACACGTTTTACGACGCAAATTTATAATCATGCCATCGATATCAACTCAGATCACTGTTATAAATACGCACATCAGTTCCTAACATAGCTGGAAACATTCTATCTTAGCAAACAAGGAAAGGTTTCGCCCTCAGTACTCTCAATTTACACAGGTCGTTCGTTAAATGTCGAAATTAGTTATTTAATAAGTTTTAAACGGACAAACAACTTTGTGAAAACGCTCACCTTGCAAACGAAACACCGTATGTATGAGAATTCATACGCCCTTTCTCTGAGAAAACAAACTAAACGTTGGCTTTCGAAGGTTCAAGATTCACTTTAACAGCCGTCAAATATCATGTTGCTATAAATTCCAGTGTCTTCAGTGACTAGGTCACTGGATTTACATATTTTTGTCGTATTTTTGTCCGTTACAAACAATAGCACCAGAGTTGAAATGAACCGCGCAAAACTTATTTACATAACAAGGGTTATGCTCTTTTTGGGTTGACCGCTGTTCAATAGTATTTGGGTTTCAGAGAATGGTGAGGCAACTAGTAGATGTCCTAGAACAATCAAATCTACGAATTATTAAAAAGCTAGATTTTATAATAGAGGTTTCTGTTCATCAGTTAAAAAACTGTTTTTGATTCAACTACTGCTGGGTAAAATTGTCCAAATTGACCGGGTGCGATTTTTTGTCGCACAAATCGTAGCACTTCGACAATGATTAAATTATGAATCTACCAAAATAGCGAAAATCATGCCATAGAAGGAGATCCAGTTGCCCTACGTTTAGCGCACTGGAAGCTGAGGTGTAGCCTGCAGATCAGGCATAAATTTTGCCCGTTTTTCAGGTGAACAAGAGGCAAACACGAAGCGAGTGTTAAGCGCGGGTCATATGCGAGAGAAAGAGCGCGCGCGTAAAGGAAAAAAAAATTTGGCACTCCTTCCCTTGCGCATGACACCGCTTCGCATTCGAATCGCACTCGCCTTTGTTCGCCTGAAATACACCAAAAAATTGCACCTGTTCTGCAGGCCACTGAGTCGAAGCTCCGGGGTTTCAAACTTATTCAGATCACTGTGTGGTGTCAGCCTGATACTTGCGGACCACTAGGGGAACCCGGATTAGTGTTGAGGGAGGGGATGACCTACGATACCCGAGGGAAGTGGCAATTCTCCAGGTCTCTTTAAGGGGGATGGGCTCCGGGCAGATGAGCGTGTGCCCATATTCAGAGGTTTGGAGCCTAATAATTTACACTTGACGCAAAGTATTAGAAGTTTGTTGAATAACATCATATGATCTTCTAGTTAACAATTTTAATTATCTTTACTTCGAGATATGAAATGGGCCTATTTATAAAACAATTATGGCGTAAAAAAAAATCCTCGGGACATCTTCGGCAAGCGTAGTTGGTTGTATTTCGCGTACAAGAAATCCCGTCAGTCATGCAGACAGGTTGGTTTGTTCGTCACGATGTTCCATGTTCGGTTGGAGGGAGAGTGGGTACACGGAGAACCAGTGGGTGCTGTGATTGGAACCAGCCGAGAAATGCAACCAGCCTGCACGGGGAAAGGTTCCTGAAAAAACCCCGGCTCCCCAAATTGACATAAACTTCCCGCAAGGAAACAAAATTTGGTTCTGCGAGAGTCAATAATGAATAAAGATTCTAGAAGTGTTAGTGACGCTTTTAAACACTACTTGAATCAAGAAGTGAAAACAGAAGTGTCGCACACTTTGGGTGAGTAACTTAGCTTTATATTTGCCATAGTGATATTAAATATTACAAAAAATTTTGTACTTAAAAAAAGGAATTACCTTCTTTTGTAGTTTTGCACCTCATACAAAGATTTACACTTTCCCAAATCATTGCTTTAGTTCAAGTGTGTTAGTTTAGTTTAGTGTGGCCTTCTATGGTAGTGTTGAGCGGCAAAGCAGCGAAAACGAGCACAAAGAGGCCTCTTCTTTCATAGTGCACCCGAGGAACCGCTATATAAGGCTTTACTCAAGCAAATTCTTTGATCACTCCACTGTTCCTATTTGCAAGGTTTGGATAAGGAAAATATTCCCATAACTTTCCATTACTTTTCGGTAATCTTTGGAAAATGACCGGAAATCTTAGATCAAGACAATTTCCTGCTTGATCATTTTATGTCTTAACTTACGTTCCCCTATTTTGATATTTTTTTGACATGAAAGCTTTTGAGAAAAGCATATAAAAAATGGCCTTGATCTTGTATTTTAATTTCAAAGAGCCCAAAATTGATAAGTGGACAGAAAGACAAATTAGACAGACGCACCCAAAGACAGACAGTCAAACAGACCAATGGTCAGAAAGGCAGAAAAGACAGATAGATAGAAAGATGGAAGGGCAGATAGTCTGATGAATGGACAGATAAAAAGAGAATTGAATGGTCAGACAGACCTCAACAGACTGATAGACAGATAGACAAAAAAACTGACAGACAGACAGACAGACAGACAGACAAACGTCTAAGAGAAGTCACAGATTTAAGAAAAGAAGGAATAAATAAAGATGAGAGAGTGAAAGAAAAAGGACACCTATCAACTGGTGATCCATAGATTACAATTAACTAAACATTATACAGCTCACTAGATACATGAAGTAAATTGTAGATTCACTCTTCTGGGAGCTAAACTTCATGCAGAATAAACTTTGGCTTAATCATACTCTTACAATACTTACAAAATCAATCTATGATCTATTACAACTATTGCTACTGATAAATAATTTATTTGAGAGACCAAGGACACCGGCCAGGAGCTGGTGATTCCATGCTGCTGGCTGTGTTGTATGTTATCTTCTGGGGGATGCATACAGTCTGATATAGTCTTCAACTCGTCTTCGAAATGATTCCTGTTTGAAGGTTATTATGAAAATTAACAGCAAGTTCACCATGTAGTAAAGGTGAAGTCTGTATTAAGATAAGTGGCCCTCCCATTGCAAAGTTATCCCTAAGCATTTCATCAGGCTTCTCTGACAATTTGCTAGTACCCAGTTACACCCCTGGGTGGAGAGGGGCATGGTGAGAATTAAGTGTTATGCTCAAGAGCTTAATACATTGACTTGGCCAGATCTTAAACCCATACCTCTGGGCCCTGAGTACAGCACACCAAAAATTAGGCCATCCCATCTCTCACACATCTGCTCAAAATGAGGTTCGCTAAATGAAGGTTTCACTATATTGATTCTGAAAACTTACCTTGTTCTTAAAATATAATTCTGAAGCCTCTACATTAAGTGGGTCATCAAAATTCAGTAAATCCTAAAAGCAATGATTTATACATCATTATTACTCCACCATTCAACCATACTGGGGCAACAGAACCCACCCAATATGCCACTTATGTAATGTAGCAATGTATTGAGAGTTAGTCATGTTATTGAATGTATGAAGTACTTGTAGACACAAATATATAAATATATTATATATTTTTTTAAAATATAATCAAAACTTTGACAAAATTCTCGAACATGATTGGGTATTACCAGCCAAATTTGAGCACTAATGAGACAATGCACACTTTATGCTTGTAATTGGACAGTGCAATAAGACAGTGCATGTGTCTCATGTGTTCAAGCTGTTGTCATGCTAACTGTTAGTTGTTTTTTATGACAATGCCTGGTTTGTTTCTAAAAATTTTGTCACAGTAATGATTATCTCAGTAATTGGTAAAAGGACTTTCTTGTCACCCAATTCTTCCTGTAATAATACTAGTGATTAACAAATCAGACTCCTTCTTTTGTTCATCTCTTGCATGATGACAGACTAAATTGGATGATATGAAGTCCTAATACCAGTATATAGATTTAGCCAAGCCTAAAAGTGGAGCTCACTTTTTTTCCCACCCCCCAAGGGCACAATGCCTTGCCCTGGCCAAGACTAGAACCCAGGTCATCCAACTCGGAGTCCAGTGCACTGACCACTGGACTACTGAACAAAGCCGGTACAGTTGACCACGCATGATAAAAGTAGCACCTTG